TCGTGACATGACAGAGCATACAGTGTACCGAGTGCTTGGTTTCTATATTGGATACTAAGAACAGCATCAAAACTAACGTGTAATCTCACGGATGCTTTGCTAGAAGGAGCACGACAGTTAACGTTTTTGGAATTGACTTGAATGAAGATTACTCACAAAGCCAAAGACGAGTGGGATGGCCATTTCTGACTTATTAACCGATATCAGCCTGCCACACCGGACACCAGGCTCGCCACATCTGTGATTGGCCCCCGGAATCCTTGGGCATTGAGTCGGACGTTGTACCGTAGAGCTAGGGGCCCATTTTACCCTCGATGGAGATCGGGAATATCAACTGGGTTCGAACGCTAGGTGGAGCAAACCTAAAATTGCGTGCGATTGGCTGGATTAAGAGTCGTAAGCTAGAGACAACCACTCCGGTCTCTTTCGAATTGGTCGGCAGTCTCCTTCTGCGAGTGCCTGCGGGGTTGTAGATCAAATTCCAAAACACAAGAGGACGAGCGGGTCCCGTAATCCGATTAACGACGGCGTTTCCAGCAAAACTGACTTGGATGGCTTGCATGATTTAGCCACACTGAAGTCTTCTTTCGGTTACACCTCCGCCAGAAGGTTTCCACTACTATAATATCTACATTCGGCCATGAGACAGCTTCTGAAATGTGACTTAGCTATTTTCATGATTTTATTAACCTGCGCTTAACCGCATTTAAAGGCGTCGCGAGAAGTGTAAGTCTAAAATACTTGAGCATTTTGTCAAACTATCTGGGACCAGATTGCAAAAGTTCAATTTTTAAATCTCGAAAGTTTTGTTGGTGTCAACATTCGAAATTCTGCTTAGGGTTCTTAAACGATCCTTGTCTTCTTTATATGTGAACTGTTGCATTGAAGTGACTAAAGGAAATTATCGTCTGAATAATGCTCACGTCCAGCGAGCACGAATCACGAACTCTGCCGGAGAGGCTTTAGGAGTACTGGGTATTGCACTTCCGACTCCATCGTTCGATTCTTCGAGATTGTGTATACGGCCATGGAAGGGTCAAACTCATTTCTGGAAACACGCAGAGACGCGTCCGATTTGCGGACGACGTTGTAATGCCAATTTTATGCCCTAACAGTCTGTATAATAGTCTACTGAGCCATCACAATAAACAACTGATGAGAAGCAGAAGCGATCGCTGGAACAAGGGCTTTATTCGCCTGACGTTTTGGATTCCCGCTTGAACACTTCATGAGAGACAGTGACAGAAAAGGGGGATTCGTGCACAGGAAGTCGCAGCATTTAAAGGATGCAGTCGCTATGGTACCGTATACCTATGATAATTAACCGCTCTCCATCAAGCATTGTTGCCTTCTGATGCACTAATGGCTTCATAGCCGGCATTCAAGTTGTTAATTGCTGAAATCTAATCACCCGTGTTGAATGCTGGCGTGATGGTTGTTCAGCCATCTGGCTCACCGGCCTGTGCGCTCCCCGATTGGCCAATTACTAAGGCCAGCCTATGCCTCAGCACGGAGTATAGAGTGGGGATGTCTTTGCACTTGTTGATAGACTGTGGTCCAGTGAACCATGACTCATGCAACTGGAGGCTCACGCGATTATCCCCTCATCAAACTTAAATGTGTGGCCGGGTCTTGTCGAAGGTACCGTGACCTGAGAGCTGGCTTCATTTCTCCGCACCGCTGCCGCGTGTTCGGCGATCCGCGTCCGAAACAGTCTTTGGACAGTCTCCGGACGCAGATGTTCGCTTGTATCGACAATGAAAACTGTAAACAAATGTTGCATTAATTTAGGATGCCCACCTGTCTAAAGTTGACATCTTATATTGGAGGAGTTTTCATTATGCAACCATCTTAATTTAGCGCATTTGTAAATAAATACCAGAAAGGTGGCACAATCAAGGCAAAAACAGTTATTTCGCCTGAATTTTTGCCAGAAACAGCGGGGCATTGTGCTGGATAGCTCAGAATTCAACTTGATAAGATATACTAAACGAGCATTAGAAAGGAAAGACGTCACTCTTTACAGGCTGCGTTTGAGAAAAGGCGTCAAGAAGTAAGTTTTCAAGTGGGTTTAATATAGATTATGGAAGTTTTTCAAAGTACAAAATACACTTTTCACAAATAATCTGAATACATTCCAAGTAGAGCATATGGCGCAATATAAGAGCAGATGTCCAGATTTCTGCCAAGGAACACTGATAAATGCGGTGGAGAAGGAGGGGGTAGAGGGGTTATCGCTGTAAACATTTATGGCGAGATCCGAGTCGATTGTAGATACCCAGCATATTCTGGCAGCGTGGACAACTGTGCTGTACATCTTTGCAGGAATTACAGAAGAATGGAATGGCGCAACATCCAAGTATTCCGCTAAAATAGCACCGCATAAAAGGTCAGGACAAATTTTTTCAAAGAAGGATACCAACGAGAAGATTAGGGGGTGCGTTTTGCTACTATGGTAAGCATATATCTATACAAAGATGTTTTGGCAGATTTCGAATAATTCATATTGACCCAAGTGTGAAAAACTCGGCGTCTCGGTGGGGTTCGAACCCACGCAGTAGGGGTAAGGCTTTAGTACAGCCAACGCTCTAACCACTTGAGCTACGAAGCCTCGCCGGGCGACGCAATTTTAATCACATTTGGGTCAAGTTACCCGCCCAACCTACTGCAACGGCTGGAATCCACCAGATGACTACCAGGCTTACGTAATTCATAGATGTTTTGACAGATTTTGAATAAAGCCTTCCCCGTACTGTGTGGATTCGAATCCCACCGAGGCGACGAGTTTTTCACAGTTGGGTCAATAAGCATATATATGTCATTAAAATGCGTCTCAATGACACCTTTGTGGTGTACTCAAAAGATGTCAAATAGCTTAAAGATGTAAACTTACCCAAATAGGGATATCACGGCACACGAGAGCCAAGTGAGCCTTCCGTTTACAAAGGAGGTGCGAGAGCATACGTTAAAGCGGCAAGTTGGACAGTATAGTTCGTGTGGTGTCGAAAAAAGCAGGACTGGCTGCTTCTCAATGGGTCGCTTCTCGACTAATGAAGAAAAAACAAAAGTGAAAGAAAAATAGGATGACAATTACAATCGTTTAGGTAAAGTGAAACATTACCTTCCTAGCAATATCTGTCAGGAAAACCACAAACTATAAAGCCGGCAGTGAAATCCGGCTCTACTACGGAAAGATATGGGTTTTAAGTAAACTAAAAGAGGGTCGTTGGAGGTGAGTTCGCCGACTTAGTGGCGGAATTCTCTCCTCCGGTTGTGTCTTGGGCCTCAATCTAGAGCTCCTCAGGTTGTCGCCGAGCGACTGGTACTATAGACCAAACGAAATTATCGACGGCGTTTTTGGCTACCCGCCCATACACCACCGGAATAAAACGTGTAATTAAGTGGCATACGTATATAGTATTATGCCACTTCTTTAAGCTTTACTGGAGATTAACACTTCGCGAAATCCGCATGTTTTATGACTAGAATTACAATAAGGAGTAACAAAGAGTAAAGCTGAACGAACACCCCAACAGCTTAGCTACCCCATTTAACGTCCTAAGTCGCACGTGGGGTCGTCGTTGGAACAGATGTTGATGGCGGAGCCCTACCAAATAACCGACCAGCATTGAAAGTCCTATGTGGTCCCGCAGAACCTTGCAGGACGAGACGAGGTCAGTACGTCTGTCGATCAAGTGCAGAACTGGGAGCATAATCAAAACAACTCACGAATTAAATTGTGTCCCGATGGACAAATCATATTCGCGGCTGTAAAGTGAGTTATGCAGTTATAAAGAAGAGGAACACACGATCTCTGGGACAGTAGGTGTATTAGTCTGAGCTTTCGGTCTCGTACAGGAGGTCATCGTCAGAGACTGTGAGAATGCGGTATTACGCCTGCTATCACGCGTTCCGTTTCTCAGACCGAATTTCCAGCACGCAGTCAGGCCGCCGTGAGACGGCGTGCGACTCAGCTTATCGCGAATACCACCCTCTGCACTCATATCCCCCCCTTCATGGCTTGACTACAAAAACTGCTCATTTGATGTCGCATTTGTGATTCGACGTCGCCTATTTTTATGTCCACTTAGGATGATTTAATTGGGTAAGGCTACTTCTATTAGCAAAACGAATTAACTGAACAATTAATGTAGAGAAGATTAACACACGATCTCTGGAACAGTAGGTGTATAAGTCTGAGCTTTCGGTCTTGTACAGGAGGTCATCGTAAGAGACTGTGAGAATGCGGTATCAAATGAGCAGTTTTTGTAGTCAAGCCATGAAGGGGGGGTGGGCGGGATTCGGTTCTTTCAATACCCGAGCAGTTAACACAGTTGCCCTTATTGCAGTAGTGGCAGTCGAGTGAAAGTACAACAACAGGCACGGCATCTGATAAAGACCCGCCTCCCTGTTGATAACACATGACGCCTAGACAGTCGCAAACCAACGAGCTCCATCGCGCCCACAACGAAGTGAACTCAGTGCCCGTGACTTGCGCAGCATCTGCCGCCTTTTGCCGCCCTCGTCTACTCTATCCGGAAAACGAGACAAATTTAACGGGATCTGAGAACGGTTTAAGTACACCGTGTGACAAAGCTATTCAGCCCGTCCACACGTGTTGGGTTTTCATGTGGACGACTCGGATCTCATATGGGTGGGAATATCATAGAGGCCACTCTGCGAGGGAACCCTGTCAGCGTGGACTAAATTATCCGAGTCCGCTAGGGAACAAATTACAAAATGTCAGATTTATTATATTGAGAAATGCACCGATTCATCAGGAGGATAGATTCCCGGAATCGGTCCTACACGTCCTTTTCCTACTCCCTGAACTGCTCGCGTGTACAAACCGTTCAGAAAAGCGGCGATGAGGCGGTGGGAACTGTTGGCATGCCGAGATAAAGTGCACTATGTTAAGTAGGAGAATTTGTGAGGGAAACCAAAACTTCCCATCAGTTAGGACTGGGTGAAGTTTGATACGATCTGAAAAAAATTACGATGAGAAATAAGAACCTCCTCGCAAAAACGAAGTCATTTTGCAAAAAAATGTCAATTCTGCATGCCAGAAAGTAGGCACAAATGTCTAATCACCGACGATGCTTGTAGATGCCTCTCCTCCTGGATTCTTACTCAAACAAAATATCTACAATAACCTGTTGCAGTACGTTCGATGCTTGTGCGCGAATGTCCATTATTCCACAATTTAGCCAAAATATAATCTCCAAATTTACCCTTCCTTAAGATTTCTCCGAACTCGCAGCCTAATCATTCGACCAGGTTGCTTTTGTCCTGATGCCGTTGTTTACATCCACCGCAGGTGATTTGCCACCTAAAGTCCTGCTCATTAACCTAGAAATGCAGAACCAATTCAAGATGTAGCACACTGTGGAATTATTCAAACCAGAATAAAACACATATTTTTTTGTTCTTGCCGGCTGAAGCCTTCAATGCGTCTCAAAAACTCCGTGAGCACCCAAGCACTGACCTAATGCAGAATAAATGGGCTTCAGACCCAGCAAACCTGTGTCTTGCCATGGCATGCTGTTGTAGAACTCCTAAAACCTGCCAGAGCCCGAAAGGGAGTAAGAAAATAAGCAGGAAACGTTATTCGCCGGGGCGATTTCGGCAAAACAGCTTACAGGGCGAGAGCACACAGCACACAACTTATCTGGTCTCACAGTAACCATTCGCGACACGAGAGCGAGACATTCACTTTGAGTGACAATGCAAATGAGGGTCATCTCGCAAAATTAACACTCAGGGGCATGTGTAACTCATCGCCAAATCTTTAGTTCCGGAGCAGCCGAGTATAAAAGTCGCCTAAAATAGTGAGGATGATTCCGGTGCTGTTTCATTGGATTGTGAAGTGAGTAAAGGCCCCCTAAAGCAATCATGCACGCTCTCGTCAATACGATAGAAGTTAAGGATGGGCCGAGCGCCAGATGAGGAGCCTGGTTTACAGCGTGGTTAAAATAATCTTGTAGGTAGGCCAACAAGACAAATAAAATCGAAGGTCACGCAAAGACGAACACAAACTAGATGTGGTACGGGGGATAGTAGTTCGGGCTACTGACAAAAACTTCGGAACAGTGTGTTGCCTCGACTTTGTGGCCATATAAACTATTGATCTGTTCGGGCAAAAAATGAGGCTTCGACCACTGGTGAGAGCTCGGTCAACAGCCCCATGTCCTCGTCTTCTCGTACGAAGCTCTGCGGACTCTTTTGCGGATTTCGGCCCCGGGCACTTGTTTCGGTCTTATAATCACCACGTGTTCTCTCACTGATGTCGACTTTGACGACAGACGTCTCTGCCAATTCGAGAGCTAGAGCTGTTAAATGAATTTGTTAAAGGCCCGTCTCTTCCTCCTTTATCCCATAGGCATCTGAGACTACAACAATCACATCGAAAACGGAAAGTGTTGCAGACAAACGTTATTGACAAGGTGTTGTTCTTAAATTGCCCTCAACATGGGGTGACCGTAGTGAAACCTGGGTTGAAATGCCCACCTTAAGGCTCCGTTGGCATGCACTGGGACGAGGCGCAACATTTCCTTAACCATTCATACCGGGAGACATATGTTTGATATACTTTTTTCGTTGAAAAGGATATAAATCAATGAGATGGCTTACTTTCAAAAATATCCTTCTTCTCCATGAACGATTTTTCAGTTGTTTTTGACACCGGATTTAATTTCGCCTAAAAGATTGAAATTTAAGGCCAAAGTGGTAGGTTTTATTGAGTAGCAATGACGGTTTTATTTGTTTACAAATCTCGCTGTGACAGACAAAATTGTACAGCAATGTCACGGAATATTATATAAACAGTTTTTCACTTCTAAACTGTTGTGCGTCTGCCACATTTCAGTCTTGCAAAGTTTAAGATTGGACTTAGAAGTCGACTGAACACTTATTTGGTCAACTGCATCAACCTGAAGTGGGATGCACTTTCGGATTTTGATACCGTTTAATTGCAAAATATTTCGTGAAGTTATAAGATATCATTCTGCAATCGAAATAAAATGTTGCTTATGAAACACTTAGTGATAAAGGCGTTTGGTCGGGAAGTAAGAATGTTCAATCTGTAAATCGGTAATAAACAAATTGTGCAGTATACTTTGTTAAATATATTGAGTAATAATTATTTACATGGTAGGTTGCGGAAGCTGACAGAAATTAAAGTACAACCACATATTTGGAGGGGCAGGCAACCCCAAACTCAATCTTACTTGCCGTTTGTCCCCATTTTCCAGCCTTTTGGCAGGAAAGTAGGAAATTTGACAGAGAACGCGGATAGATTGATACAACACTGTTTTGGGCTTATTTTGCCTACATTCAGCAAATAGCATCTCTAACCAATAGCTGGGACCAAAACATCAGAACTTAGTTTAAACCTTGAGCAGCTATTTCACAGACAAAGTCTACGAGATGGGTAAAAGGAATTTTGTCGTGCAAAAATTTATCAGTGCCCTGTCACACGTCGTTCTCTGTCGTCGCAGACCAGGTATTTGTGCAAACGTGAATATTCGCATGCTGATCTATTGGCTTCCTGAAGCAGATAAACGCCAAATATATATAAAAAAATAAAGTTGATACCGCCAAAGACAAGGGAGACCGTAATGGCCATTTCCGTCTTATTAACCGCCAGCAGTCAGTCATATCCCAAGTGTGAATCACTTGAGATTCGAACCCGGAATCTTTGACACTACTACTGAGCCACGGCCCCGTTGTCCTGTCGGTTGTGATCGAGAATGTCAATCATGACAGGTGAACGCCCAGAAATCAGGTTACGTGACGAGCACAGTCCGAAACCTGACCCAGTTTCAGGTGTCAGCATCTGGGATTCGAGCCCCGTCTCCTTGTCTTTGTCCGTATCTCATCTTCTGCATATGTGTGTAAATGTCCTGATTTTACTGTCGACGCTGGATAGCTTACTGTTAAAGCAGTAAAGGTAATGCGGGCTTGCCGCTTTGCTAATTTTGTGTACAAAATAGGAGAGATGCGGAATTGAAAAAAAACGTTTCGTTAGAAACCTGACAATTAAATTGTAGAAAGAAGTCTGCATTTGTTTAGCTATATAAAATTGCCTATAAGCACATAATTTAAGGATGAAAACAAATAATACCCAGGTGTATTTCTGCTGCTTTTTAAACAGACTTATATCGCAACTGAAAAAAAATCACGCTTCGTCCGAAGAAATAATATAAAGAAATACAACTACATGCATGTGCACCTTAAGGGCAAACCGGTTTTGAACGAATTGGCAAGTAAACACCCGATACCACCAGCTCTGGAACTAGATATCTTATAAGGTTCCGAAGTAATGCGCCTTTCAAGGATTTTGTCCGTTGTCAGTTGCCGCATGCTGCTCCATATACCAAAATTCTCCAATCAGTCACTTTCATTGTCATAACAAACTGTTTATTTGAAGCGCAAAATGCCTGCGGATGATGCATTTGAGTTGCATTTTATGCTTACCCCTTATGTATGCAACATCACTTGGCGTTTCTTGGTCAAATTACCCCAGGTATACATACAGCACGTTTCGTCCTTCCATCAACAGAAACAGTGGTCATAAACAGTGGTCATTTAACAAAGACAGACACTTAATATACTTGTCTTTTAAATGAAATTTTCTTCAAAAGGCAAATAAAAATCGACCAATTTATTTAACATCTCTTTATTTTTTCATTGTTTTCCTCTACGCCCACCGTTATACTTTATTTTTCTGCCTAATTCCTGGGTAATGTTTAAGGTTCCGCCCGTATTTGTCCAGTATAAGGTTTCCAAACCGCTGACGCATGCGAGCCCAACAAGACTTATGTGTGCTTGAAAGTATATAACATCAACTGTGTTTCCTCTCGCCCAAAATCCCGTTGTCTCAGTTTGCTTTACAGAGTCTGCGCTAATTTTGTCGCCTTTGGGAAACCGGTCATTATCGGTTTAATCAACTTAGGCGTAATATCAGCGTTAGATCGCGGATTTCATTCATATTACTCAAATATATGTAAGGTTTTTGGTCCGTCAACTGAACTTCACTGAAGGACGACGTTGTCGGCGCAAAAGTGGTTTAAATCTGTGGTCATCGACCGAAATAATATAAAAAACCGAGTCCTCCAATTGGTAAATCTATGTCCATACTGTTAAAAACCTCGGACATCAAATGCCTTAAGGCATTTGTCAAATTTGACAAATTCTGACAGATGATGTATGCGCACACTGGGGTGAGACTCTTATAAGCCATATAATCATATAAGCTGTCGAAAAACAACGCGAAGTCACTCAGAGTTTTGCCGTATTCAACATAGAATCCCCAAAATTTGGCAAGACATTAAATCTGTGGTCTGCTTAAAAAGGAAATAAACTAAGACGGCCTATTATTTTTTCCGGCCAGGTGCTAACAAGGCTAGTATCAAGTATTTTTATGTCTTTATGGTGGAATCCCAGGTAAGTACAAAGGGGACCGGGATTTCTTAACAAGAGAACGTATTGGATTTCTTTAAGATAATCTTGTGGGGATTGTAATAATTCTGTAAAATGGCATTTCAGCAAGGGTTATAAAATAGCTTAGGAATTCCAAACTGGAATAAGGCGATTGCCATGAATTTTGGATTTTTTAAAACACGGATTACCAAACGCAAACAGTATGTAGTTGTTTCACAACTATACCGCGTACCTTTCACGCCTAACTGTTTCAAATAAACGTTGAGTCGTTAGGTCACGCTTTCAAGGTCGAGACGAGCAAGCTAACAAGGGCGTCTGTTCATTTAAAAGTATTTTGATGTTGTTATTTTCCAGCATAATGAGAAGGGTTCATACGAGATACGTTTAAAATCCCGCTGCACTATTTTATGCATATTTCATACATCGATTTGACCAACATTGGAATATTGCTCACTGCGTGCAAAATTTAGTCAGATAAATGGATGATCTTATGCTCCACACAGTCAGGCAAGCTAGTCAGCTAATTGTATTACGGGGACGGCTGAAAAAAAATTAAAGTTTAATGACATAGCGGAGAGCACGAAGTACATATCTAAAATGAGAAATGTTGGCCAATTTTTGGGACCACCTATGCGGGCCTTTGTACAGTTCCCGCTTAAAAATACATATCATATTATAAGAAATAATAAAAGCGCACAAGCTGTAGCCCCACCCCTTGATTTAACAGATATTTTCTTGAAATGGAGTTTCGGAAGATAGCGAATGATGTTTCTCCGATGAGCACTGGCCTGTACATTTTCATCAGATAGAAACCTTTCAGTCTGGATCTAACAATGCCTGGTTCGATAAGGGAGTTATAAATACAGCTCAGACCAGTTTACTGAGGAAAATGGTCGTGGATCTTTGGCAGCCCTATCTGCAACGTAAAAGTTAGTGCAGTGTTCCAAGAAGACATGAGGCTGGAATAGTCCAAAGGGACCATATTGACAAACTGACCGTGAATCTCAAAAGTTGATCTCAATCTCTTATTTTGTATATCAATTTGCTAGGGATGCTTTTGAGGCCTTTCCGCGATGATGACACCATAACATCTGCGGAAAGGGCATTTTATCTTGACGGCCTTAGGAGAAAAGAGAACTTGCATACGCCTAGACTATCCTGCTGGCCACCCATTTTTTATGGTCCCCGTAAAGTTTGATTGTGGTAGAAAGCACAAAAAGTGCTAAAAGGCCAAAGGACAGTCTAATCCCTTCACAAACTGGTAGGCATGTAAGAAGTCTTCGCGCGTGCATTTTTAATTAAGAAAAATGATGCTTAGATTTGTTAGGTGGGTTGTTTAGGTAAACGAGCTTTGATGACAGCAGTCAGCATGGCGAATCGTCTGGTGGTTCTTACTTAATCAGCGCTTAGATTTGTTCCATTATAATTGTCATTTCCTTCTCTCAGAATGTCCTGACGAAAATTACTTCTATAGCACTGTAGTGGTTACTGGATTCAAATTACTTTGGTACTCTACAATAATCGACTTTAACTACGTCTAGCTTCTAATTTAATAATCAACAGAACTTTTGACAGCCAGACTACGGCGATTAACTAATACCCTTATTTTACCATTGATATTTATTGCACTTCGTTTTGAAATTACCTTCCTGATACATCGTTAGAGTAATGAATGTAAGTTCTGAATCCCTTGTCATATATTTTTCAGTCGTTGGTATATCTGACATGCATTCTCTCCATACTTTGTGTTTTCCGATGATTTCTTTCGTTAGCTTCCTATATAGCTACCGTGTTTTTTTTCTCTCGTCTCCTTGGACCTGTCGACGGAAGAAAAGGATCTCTGGAGTCCGTTGCTATGTAGTAAGCCATGAGCTCGCACTGATCAGTAAAACAAAACATCTCGTTCGCACCATTTCAATCGCCAGACTGTCTTTTAATCGTAACAGGATACCAAGACGATCAGAAATCGTCCACCAGTTTTGATGAACAATTTCGTTAAAATATGGCTGAAATACATTTCAGCCAAATATCGAACATTACGCTAAAGCGCGACGTCCGACTGGACTAAGTATTTACCTCTAGAGAATGAGAAATGAATCAGGCCAGAATGATTTGCGGAAAACAACTTTTAACTCACGAGGTATAAGAAAAAAGATTGAACGTTCAAATAAGTCGCGCACACGTCTGCTTAACAACAGTTTATCCATAACACAG